TATACCTAAGCAGACTTTGGAGAAATCTTAATTCTAACAGCCTTGACCTGAGTGTAGTTGTCGAGAGCCTCAGTACCCATTTCCCTACCGAACCCAGACTGGTTGAACCCACCGAACGGAACAGAGGTGTGGAAATCGCTGTAAGTGTTAACCCAGACAGTACCGGCGTGCAATCTGTTGGAAACGTCAACGGCCTTGTTGATGTCCTCTGTGTGGACACCAGCAGCCAAACCGTACTCAGAATCGTTGGCTTTTTCGATGACTTCGTCAACAGTTTCAAACTTGGTGATGGTGACCACTGGGCCGAAGATCTCCTCCTTGACGACGCCCATGTCTTCGGTAACATTACCGAAAACAGTTGGCTTGATGAAGAAACCCTTGGTGCCAAATCTCTCACCACCGGCGACAAGAGTGGCACCCTCGGCCTTACCCTTTTCAATATAACCCAAAATCTTGTCCAACTGCTGCTGGGAAGTCTGAGAGCCCTGGAAGGTGGCTTCGTTGAATGGGTCACCAATCTTGACGGCTTCGATAGCAGTCTTGAATTCGGACAATAATTCGTCGTAAATACCGGATTGACAATAGATACGAGAACCAGCGCAACAGACTTCACCGGAGTTGTAGAAAATGGAAACGATCAAGTTCTGAACGGCGTTCTTGACGTTACAGTCGTTGAAGACGATATTTGGAGACTTACCACCCAACTCCAACGTGACTTTCTTCAAGTTAGATTCAGCGGCACGCTTCATGATGTGGCGACCAGTGGCGGTGGAACCAGTAAACGCAACCTTTCTGATTCTTGGGTGGATGGCAATGGCTTCACCAGCGGTCTTACCAAATCCGGAGATGATGTTGACAACACCAGCTGGGATGCCAGCTTCCTTGACCAACTTGGCGAGGTACAAGGCAGACAATGGGGTGGATTCAGCGGTCTTCAAGACAACGGTGTTACCGGTGGCCAAGGCTGGACCAAGCTTCCAGGAAAGCATCAACTGTGGGAAATTCTATAGCATCGTTAGTATTTGTAAAACTGGCCATAACGCAACTAATGATAAGCACGAAACTGTGGAGACGTCTGCGCGCCGTTTTATACGTATGGCATGCTTGAAAAAAAAAATATATGGCCAGAACAGGGGAAATTCCGTGGGTACAAATTACGACCAGGTAGACTTAACAATGCCATGTTGCAGGCAAATGGAGAAATCCGAGTCATCATGTTGCACATTCGCAGGGTTCAAGCACCTATATCTTTGTTAGAAAATTAACATACCCATGGAATGATTTGGCCACAGACACCAATTGGTTCTCTCTTGGTGTAAGAAAGGTGGGTGGATCCAGTATTTATGTTTCTACCATCAATCTTGTCACACCAACCGGCACAAGATCTATAGTAGGCAGCAGACAAGGCAATGTCACCCCTGGCATTCATCAAAGACTTACCATTGTCTAAAGATTCAATGGAAGCCAAGACTTCGGCGTGCTCTTCGACCAAGTCAGCCAACTTGAGCAAACCGCTGACTCTCTGAGATGGATCAGCGGTGGCCCAGCCAGAGTTCTTGAAGGCCTTCTCAGCCGCATCGACAGCAGCGTCGACATCTTCGGAAACGGCTTCGTAGACGTGGGTGATTTCTTCTTCGGTAGATGGAGAGATAACGGAAAAGGTCTTACCGCTGATAGATGGAACAAATTCGTTGTTGATGAACAAACCAGTTGGTTGATCATACTCAATGCCATGAGGCAACTTGACTTTGACGCTCAATGGCAAGGAGGCGTAGTATCTCATGGCCAATTGGGCCAATCTTGGGGAAATAGTCTTGGATGAAAGAGCTTGCTTAAACATTGTAAGTGACGTGGTGAGAATACGTCAAGATTTAGAAGTTTATGGGGAATGG